TTGCCAAGAAATTAATGAAAAATGTCACTATCAAAAATCTCAAACTTCTCATGACAACAGACAAACACACATACCACATAAACATAGTCAAAAGGCATAGGACAAATGAGGTAAATCTTTGCAATTCTTATCAGAGACAAAGGAGTAATTTCCATAATCGTGACTCTTAGAAATTGAGGAAAAAGACCAATAAAATGAGATTTTATAAACAGGTGGTTCTCTGTCATATAGAAAACTAAATGCACCTTATTGTTGTTATTGGGTGCCATTGAGTCAGTTGTGACTCATAGCAATGAAACACTTCTTGGTCCTGTGCCATCCTCACAATTGTTAAGTTTGAGCCCATTACTGGTACCACTGTGTCAATCCATCTCTTTGGGGATCTACCTCATTTTTGCTAACACTCTGTTTTTCCCAAGTATCATGTCCTTCTCCAGGGACAGCTCCCTCCTGGCAACATGTCTGAAATATGAAAGATTAATTTTCACTATCTTGGCTTCTAAGAAGCATTCTGACTGCACTTCTTCCAAGACAAATTTGTTTGTTCTTCTGAAAGTCCATGGTGCTTTTAATATTTTTCTCCAACACCGTAATTCAACTACATATGTTCTTATATGATATTTCTTATTCATTATCTAACTTTCACATGTATCTGAGGTGATTGAAAATAGAATGCCTTGTGTCAGGCACACCTTAGTTCTCAAACAGATATCTTGGCTCTTTAACACTTTAAATAGATCTTTTGCAGCAAATTTGCCTAATGATTTGATTAACGATGTCCTTTGATTTCTTACATGCTGCTTCTGAGAATTGAGTATGGTTGCAAGCAAATTGAAGTCTTTGACAAATTCATTCTTTTCTCCATTTATCATGATATTATTTATTGGTCCAGTTGTGAGGACTTTCGTTTTTTTACATTGAAGTACAATCCTTACTGAAGGTTATAGTTTTAGATCTTCATCAACAAGTGTGTCAACTCTTTCCTTTCAGCAAGCAAGCTTGTGTCATGTGCATATAGCAGGATTTTAATGACTCTTTCCAAAATTCTGATGCCATGTTCATCAGATAACCCACCTTTTCAGATTACTTGTTCAGCATACAGATTGAATAAATATGGTGAAAGGATACAACCCTAGCCCACATCATTCCTCATTTTAAACCATTTAGTATCCCTTGCTCTGTTGGAATGACTGCCTCTTGATTCGTGTGGTTTCCTCACAAACGCAATGAAATGTTCTGGAATACTTATTCTTCCCAGTGTTTATTATGATCCACACTGACAAATGCCTTTGCATAGTCAATAAAACACAACTAAACATCTTTCTGGTATTCTTTGCTTTCAGCTAAGATCTATCTTAGGTCAGCAATGTCATTCCACATCCTCTTCAGAATCCAGCTTGAATTTTTAGCAGCTCCCTGTCAATGTGTTGAAGCAACTGTTTTTAAATTATCTTCAGCAATCTTTCACTTACATGTGATATTAACGATATTGTTGAATGATTTCTGCATTCAGTTGGGTCAACATTCTTTGGAATGGGCACAACTGTGTATCTCTTCCAATCGGTTGGTCAGATAGCTGCCTTCCAAATTTCTTGGCATGAACTGGTGAGTGCCTCCAGTACTGCTAGCTAGTTAAACTATTTCAATTTGTATTTCATCCACTCCCGGTGCCTTGTTTTCTGCCATTGCCTTCAGTGCAGTTTGGGCATCCTCCTTAATTACCCTCAGTGCTTGATCACAAGCTGCCTCTTGAAATGATTGAACAGAGACCAGTTGTTTTGTTTTTTATTTTTGTATAGTGACTGTGTATTTCTTCCATTTTCTATTTGATGCTTTCTATACCATTCGATATTTTGTTCATGTTATTGTTGTTAAGTGTCATCAAGTTGGTTCTGACTGATAGCGACCCTGTATAGGGCTGAAGAGCAGATGGTGGATTTGAACTGCTGATCATGTGGTTAACAGTCCAGTACTTATCCTACAGTGCCACACCAGGATTCCATTTTGCCAATAGAATCCTTTAATATTTCAAGTCTAGGCTTGAGTTTTACTTCAGTCATTGCACCTTGAGAAATGATGAGCATGTTCTTCCCTTTTGGTTTTCTATCTCCAGGTCTTCGCATATTGCATTATAATACTTGACTCTGTTTTCTCAAGTTGCCTTTTGAAATTTTCTGTTATGTTCTTAGGCTTCCTCATTTCTTGTATTCACATTAGCTTCTCTACCCTCAAAAGCAAGTTTCAGAGACTCTTCTGGAATTCACTTTGGTCTTTTCTTTCTTTCCTGTCTTTTTAATGACATTTTGCTTTCTTCCTGTATGATGTTCTTGATTGTTGTCCCACAACTACTCTGGTCTTCAGTCATTTGTATCTAATGAATCAAACCTGTTCTTGAGATGGTTTCTAAATTCAGGTGGAATATATTCAGAGCCATATTTGTACTCTCCTGGACTTTTTTTCATTTTCTTCAGCTTCAGCCTGAACTTGCCCCTAGCCTTGTTTTGACTAATGATATTGAGCATCTCCACTGTCTAGTACCACAGGTGCAGTCAATTTGATTCTTGCATATTCCAGCTGGGGAAAGTTCATGTGTATGTTGTTGTTAAGTGTGTCCAGTCACTTCCTACTCATAGCAATCCAGCGTAGGGTTTCTGAGGTGTGATAGTTGAGTTTGAACAACCAACCTTGTGGTTCAAACTGACATTGTGGTCCAGTGTTGTCCTACAGGGTCGCTCTTCATGTTGTTTAAAAGGGATATTTTCAATGAAGAAGTTGTTGGTTTTGCAAAATTCTTTCATGTGTTTCTATCACCAAGATAATATTTTTAAACTACCAATCTTTCCTCTTTGTTTCAAATTTTCTCATTCCAATCACTGATAATTATCAATGCATCTTGATTGCATATTTGATCAAGGTGTTAACTGGTCTTCTTTTTAGGTTTATGGAGATTATTCTATCACAGACAGCATTGTACTTCAAGATGGATCTTGAAAGAAATGTTCTTTTTGACCATGTATGCGACGTCATTGTTCTTGAATTTGTCATTCCCAGCATGAGACTGCCAGATTCAATATGTCCAATACTAGTACATTTCAGCTCACTAATACCCAGGATATTGATCTTTATGCATTTCATTTCATTTCTGACAACTTCCAATTTTCCTAGATAGATCTATACTTCTTACGGAGCTGTGATAGCATAGTGGTTACAAGTCAGGCTGCTAACCTCAAGGTCAGCAGTTTGAAACCACCAGTGATTCCATGGGAGACAAGTGAGGCTTTGTGCTCCCATAAAGATTTACAGCCTCGGGATTGCTATAAGTCGGAACCAACTCCACAGCACATAACCACCACCACCGTACTTCATGCAAGAACCTAGGCTGCTAACCTAAGGGCAGTAGTTCAAATCTACCAGCCGTTCCACAGGAAAAAGATGAGGCTTTCTGCTCCTAGAAAGGTTTACAGCTTCAGAAATCCTATACAGGTTTACTATGAGTCAGAAATGACTTCACAGCACACAGCAATAATATACTTCATATATTCCATATTTAGATTATTAATGGGTGTTTGAAGATGTTTCTTCTCATTTTGAGTTGTGTCCCATTAATAAATGAAGGTCCTGGAAGCTTTGCTCCTTTCATGCCCTTATGGTCAACTCTACTTTGAGGAGGCAGCTCTTCCCAAGATGTATTTTGAGTGCCTTCCTACCTAAGAGTCTTATCTTCTGGCACTATATCTGACAATGTTCAGCTGTTATTTATAAGGTTTTCAGTGTCTAACCACTCAGAAGTGGTCTGCCTCTCCTTTCTAATCTGCCTTAATCTGGAAATTTAGCTGAAACCTGTTCACCACAGGTGGTGGCATACTGGTGGTGTAGCTTCCAGCATCACAGCAACACACAAGCCACCACAGTATGACAGGCTGACAGATGAGAGGTGGAAAATGCACCTTAAATATATGAAGTAAAAAAATAAAATAAAATAACAAAAAACATGCATAACCCCACTCAGTATGGAGTCCTGGTGTGACAACATGAAACCCCCAATTTAAAAGTGCACTGAGAATCTACTTCTTACCCATCAGTTTAACATAAATCCCAAAGTTTGACACTGTACTCTGTTGGTAAGCCTGTGGAGAAATGGGCATTCTCATGCATTTCCAATGGGCCTATCAAATGGTACAACTATTGTAAAGGGAAATCTAGAAAGCTATCAAAATTATCAATACATTACCATTCACCAGCAACTTCACTACTGGAAATCTATCCTACATATAAACCTGCACACATAGGAAATGACAGGTGGACAAGACTATTCACTTCAGCCTTATTTGTAATAGCAAAGCTTAGAAATGACCTATGTCCATCAATAGGAAACTAGTTGACTAGACTGTGGTTTGTTCATACAATGCAAAATGGTGAACCTGTGAAAATGAATGAGGAAGCTCTCTCTGTACAACTAAAGAGCAATCTTTGATAAATGAAGTAGAAAAAAGAAGTCACAAAGCAATGTAATAGCATACTGCTTACATATGAGGAGGTGCATTTGTATTTGCTTGTACGGTATTTGTGAAAGAAAACACCAAAGACTAAACAAACAAAATTAAATGGAAAAATGAGGCTTTTCTATCTCTTTTTATATGCCTTTGGTTTTAAATCATGCAAGTATTAAAATTAGATAGATAGATAGATAGATAGATAGATAGATAGATAGATAGATAGATCTTCCTACTTTTGCCATGGAATTTTTAGTGCAATATGAAACTATCTTTAATACTTTTACTTTTTCTCAGTTTGTCAAAGCCTCATCTGAGATTCAAAAATTGCACTCTTGTGAAAGAAAACAAATCCCCAGGGATTACTAATACTTTCTCTTTTTTCAGTTTTCTTTGAAGACAGGGACTGAGTTTAAAGGGGGTAAAGAGTCCAGTTTGATTTGAAATTGGCCAAATAAGAGACTGCCCAGATGCTATTGATCACCAGCATTCAGCAGCACAAACAGAAGTGTGCCCTGCTGAGGGTGGGGTGTCTGGGCGGGGTTGGGGGTACCCGAGTGCACTGCATCCAGCTGAGAGTGAAATTTCTGAGAAAACCCCCTTCCTGTCGCAGCACCCACAGCACTCTGAGCCTGCTCGCAGTCCAACGGCCTCTCCGAGGATGCTACATTTAAAAGTGCAGTTTTTGGATGAATCCCAGAAGATTTTTGTGGTTGATGTAAGTGAAAATCACATTGCTATTATTCCTTTATTATTCATTCAGTAATGGTCATTTGTGGACGGCCCATTAGCTGGCGGTGTTATGTCTTCTTTAGGGCCAAATGGAGGACTGTGGTTTTGTAGCCTTTGAAAAAGAAATCTGTATTTAATATCACATTGGAACTTATGTTTCTCCATTAACCTTTCTTCTAGACAGGTTCACTTTCTCCAGGGAAAACAAAAGGAAAATTTTAAGATATGTTTAATATTTGCAAAAAGTCACAGTAGAAATAACTTAGCTCTCCTACCCCATAAGGGATTATTGCTCATTGAAATTATTTATCTATGAGTATCACCCCATGAACATTTTGTGGGAAAAAATTGCGGTTCTAAGGGAAAGAAGAGGGGAAAAACGACTCTTTTTTTCCCCTGAAGAAAATGTACAGGGTTGAGGGTAGAATTATACAGTTGTAAGGAGAACTTCAGGAAGTAATGACAAGTATGAAAGGGGAAAATAGGATAAGAGATCATTTAGTTTGATTTAGTGCTTATAGTTCAGGGTTCTTAATATAATTCCTATCTACAGGATGATTGCGTACAATTATACCTCATCTCTTCAAGAAAGAACAAATGTATTAAGCACATCATTTGTGACTCATCTTCCAGTATCTTAAGATATTTACATTTTGATGTCAGGATTCATATGTTCTATGATTTTATTGGAACAAAAAAATGCTGTTTGCTCTGATATTTGCATTAGCTACTAACAAGAAACAAATCATTCATTTTCCTTGAAATTCATACAAAATGCTGGTTGTTTTCTTTTATATATAAACTGGCAACTACTGGAGCTCAGCTGTGATATTGGGTGTGTGGGTAACCCATTTTTCAAATGAGTGCTTCATGTGCTTTGGGGGTGATGACTGCTTGGCTTGGGCTGTTGTTTTGCTGTCTCTTCCTTGCACTTTTATGTCTAAAAGGCATTTCTAGGTTCACAACCTGAATGTTTTGTTTTTGTAGCAAATAGCTTCCATTAGAGATAGGAGGCAGTTCCTATTCTTTCTTGGAACTATATTTAAGGGGTGGAAAATACCTTTTGAGTAGTCTATCCATTTGCAGGCTGAGAGTGTACACTTACAGCGTTCTAGTACCTGAATTAGTGAGCTGGGTATTCAAAAGACATTGCTCTAAGCAAGGTTTTTAATAGATATTTCAAGCAAGTCAAAGAGAAATTTTTGACAAAAAGTGACAGAAGAGCTTTCTGAATGTGCAGTTCAAATTCAGACCCAATTAAGTGGGGGTGGGTGGGTAGGGGGATAGGGGTGAGTACAGTACCAGAGCATCACGAAATGGCACCTTCTGAGAAGTTGATTCCAGCAGCTTGAAGCCAGTATGAGTTGGCTTCAAGTTAGATTTTCTTTTTTTCCAGCTGTAACACATTGTGTTCCTTGGAAAGATAATGGGAGAGGTTTGATACGTAGCAATTCGGGTGTCAAAGCATCTGGTCCTTTTTGCTTTGTGGAAGGCTGGGCTGTAAGTAGCAATCTGCTGTTACTGAGAGTAGCAATAGCACTAGCTGTAGTCATCCAACATTGTCTTCTCACCTAAACAATAATAGGCTGAAAATGGTGATGATGGTGGTAGTGGTGATGATGGTGCTGGTGGTGTTGATAGCAGTGGTAGTTTGGGTGGATAGCACTTTAAACTTTATAAAGCAATCTCACATTCATTATTCATTTCATCTTCCATTCCAGCCTGTGAGTGAAAGCAGAGAAAATGTTAATTTCCTATTTTTCCAATTAAGGCATGGCGATTCAGGGAGGTTAAGTGACTGTGCAGGACCACACAAGTGCAGTCCTATCTACTACACTAGGACCACCCTTATTCAAAGACCTCATCTGCTGTAGCCTTCTAGTCCTTCTGAAACATTGCTCATGAACATCATGTCCTTTCCGTTGCCCTCAAAGGGCAATTTTACATGCAGTGAGCCTTTGATGATGGATAAGGAGCTCTGTGGAAAAATAGTTCTTAGAGGTCAAGGAGACTATGACATGATCCAGTACTTGAAAAACAACTGAAATAATGCCTTCTATTGTTAGTACTAACATCCTAAACAGGATAAAGGAATGTTTCTAATCATATTGAAGAGAATTCTTTAGTAACTGAGGGAAGCCTCATAGGAGGGATTTTGATACCAAATTTGTCTAAAGTCCCAGAGGCCATGGTGAAACCCAAGAAAGAACTGCCCTTCAAGGTAAGATTAAAGAAAACGATTTCATGGAAGAATAATAGTGGATTCTTGGGCACTGTTCTGCAGATTACAGAAAGTACAGTTGTACAAATTTGAAAAGGACACCTAATTATACATGGCAGTGTCACTTAGCAAAGGCTGATTGACATCTGTAACCCTTCTTCCCACCCTCTGTTTCATTATCTTGGTGCATTTGCCAGTTTCCAAGATCTGGCTCAAGCCTAGAGACCTAGAAGTCTGCTTTCTCACCATTCTACAAGAACTAAGGTCAGAGACTGATATGGAAAATCAGAATGCCAATATCATCATTTACAGTGGAATGGAGAAAACTGGGGACCTCTCATCAGTTACAGCCTATGTCAAATGGTGACAGAAAATGAGATATGTGTTCCTAATACTTGATTGCCGATGATGCATTGATTCCTCCAAATTTCTTGTTGTTGAGACCTTTTGATCACTCATTCATTTAGTCAACAAATCTTTAACCAGTTTCTGTGGGGTCGATTCTGACTCATGGTGACCCCATGTGTGTCAGTGTGGAACTATGCCCCAGAGGGGTTTTAATGGGTGATTTTTAGGAATGGATTCTTAGACCTTTCATCTGACATGAATCCTTTCATCTGGACTTGAATCCTTCAACCTTTTGGTTAGCAGCCAAGAACATCGACCATCTGTACCACCCATGGACTCCAACAAATCATTTAGTATGTTCCAGGCCCTGTTCTTGACACAACACACAGCATCATAGGCATAGGCAAAGTCCTTGAACAAGGGCACACTCCAGCCTGGGGAATGCTGACTAGGCACTACCAACATTGGCTTCCGTGACTCCTTTCTCTGTTACAAGGTTGGTGACAGCCCTTTGTGGCTGGCATACTCTGTCTTTGATCTGTTAATACTTTCAGTAGATTACTATGAAGAGTGACTGGCACTAGGTCCATCCTGCTATTTAGAAATTTCTGTGTATATCTAGGGTTCTGCTGTGGCCCTGTAGGATAAGCACTAGTCAGCAGTTCAAATTCACCAGCTGTTCTTGGAAACCCTATACAGAGTCACTATGAGTAGAAACTGACCAACAGCACACAACAACAACACAGTGCATATCTAGGGAGTCCTCTGTATTGCAAACAGGTTAAGGTACTTGGAGGCTAACAAAAAGTTTGTTAGGTCGAGTCCACACAGAGGTGCCTCAGAGGATAGACCTGGTAATCTAGTTCTAAAAAGCAGCCATCAAAACCCCTACGAAGTGAATCAGGTGGGTTTTGCCCCAGCCTCCTATCTTGAGTACACATGTGAATGATCAACTGACTGCTTGTTGCCAAACTGGAACTGTTCAGTAGGGGTTTTCTGGCATGCTATCATTCCTAGAAGGAAAAAGAAAGGGAAACTTGACTGCACAATGTTTTTTGTTTTAAATCCATGTTGTGACTTTTACTTAATTTCTATTTTATTTTAATTTTTTTGGTAATAAAAAGTTACTTTTTAATTTGAATTTGTCTTTTTAATTTATTGGTCTGAAAGGTATTATAATAATATAGTGGTGTAATTTAATTGGTGCAACATGCTTTAATGCTCCAGTCAAGATTAGTTTTCACTCATTTGATTGGTTTGAGCCCAGAAGAGCCTACAGGGAAGAAAGGAAAAAAAAAACAAAAGCAAGCTGGATAAGTACTAAAGTGTTTGTATTTTCATTGGAAACAGATTTGTTTTTTCCTTCAAATGTTGCAGTTTTTTTGTTTTTATTTAAATTAAATAAATTGTAATGAACCGAAAACAAAAAACTCTATGGAGCACAGTTGTACTCTGATACACTTGGGACCATGCATTAAAGTCAACTGAAGGACATTTTTTTTTTTTTTTAATGCACATCTTTGCTCAGAGGCACTATGTGTTAATTTTATAGTTTAACTTTCTGAGGACGTTAGTCAACCTTTTCCTTCTTGAATTCCAAGAGTATTTGGAGGGTGAGTTGTATGCTGTAAAATTGGTTCCGACTCATAGCGACCCTGTAGAGGGTTTACCAGTACTAAACCAGGACTCTGTATTTGAGAGTAGGAGTGGAGGATAAATATGGGACTTCAAAATTACTGAAATGTGCTGAAAATAGTGTAATCTAATTTTTAAAATTAAATTTAGTGAATACCTCATCTTGCTTTAGAAGATATCATATTTATTTCTTGAAAGTCATCATTGCCAAATATCAACATCACCCCTGTTTTTGTTCTTGCAATGGTACTGTGGTGCTTTAATCTTTCTTCTGTGGCACTGTAGGATAAGTACTAGACTGATAACCACAAGGCTGGCAGTTCAAATCCACCAACTCCTCCTCTGAAATCCTACACAGGGTGACGATGAGTCTGAACAACCTCGATGGCACCTAACAGCAACAACATGGACAACATAGCAACAATAATCAAAGAGGGCTTTGTAGAACAACAGTAGTGGGGGACAGGAAGAAAACTAAATTAAGGTGAAGATGCAAAAATTAATTGCAAGGTACAGACAATCCAAATGTCAATCAACAGATGAATGTATACTCATACATCCATTGGAATATTATTCAGCCATGCAAAGAAATGAGGTAATGCACTGCAACATGGATGAACCTTGAAAGTAGTATGCTGAGTGAAAGAATACAGGCGAAAAAGGCCACATATTGTATGATTACATTTATATGAAATGTGCAGAATAGGTAAATCCATAGAGACAAAAGGCAGACGGGTGGTAGCCAGGAGCAGGGCATAGAGGGAAGTGGGAAGTGACTGCTT